AACGTGAGAAACCACCACGTTTTTCTAGACTTCACACTTACTATGAAAAGCAAAAGTTCTTTGTGCCCCAACATATCCTCTAATTTCTCTGCCTTTTGCTGAAGGTTTTCATCCAGTTTGATGTCATTTATTGTAAGGAGCCCCAGAAATGCCTCAGCTCCTTTATCTTCCAGCTCAGGCCCCCTGCCTGGGTATATTAACACATATCTAGCTGGTACCCAGGGTGGTAAATAGGCCAATCTAAGTTAGAGTTCTCATTTCAAATTTGTGTGCCCCCCCTCCCCGAAATGATAGAAAGACATGAAAACGACTTGTCTGGAAAACTCAGTTGTGCCATGCTGTCAGAATCACTTTGATGAATAAACTTTACCCTCTTGGAGTAAATAAAAGGACATAGAGAAAACTAGAAAACAGAATACCAGGTAAGAATTTCAGTTTTTGCTTCAGCAATAGTCAGCCTCAAGGAGACACTCACCCAGAAGACATCAGTTTTTCTTAGATTATTCACTTACAAAATCTTGGAGCTTTGGAAGAAATTTTAAATTTTACATACATAAAAGACTCGTATCCTATGATTGTATGTTGGCCAGAAACCTGTGTCGTTTCTCCCTCCTTCCATACTGAATCTAGAACCTTTTTTTGTCAAAGCCAGGTAGAAATAACTTAACAAATCTGATTTTCTTCAGATATAGTTTTCTCACTTTCTTTCTTCTTTCTTTTTCTTTCTCTTTCTTTCTTTCTCTTCCTTCCTTCCCTTCATTTCCCCCAATTTCTTCTATTTGAAAAGATTTTAAGTGATAGAAAAACTGTTTTAAATTAGAAAATGGGATTTCTTTTCTTTTCTTTTGTTTTTTAACTAAATACACATAGATGTCACTAACATCTATGGTAGCTCCAGTTCACCGGCCATAGACACTTTCCTTCAGTACTATAATTATTGTACTAGTGTGCTTCTCCCCAAATGGTCCACGCTGACCTGCTTAGGAGACATTGCTGTGTAGTAAACATGCAAATGTTTCAGTATTACCAAGCAACTATGTGTGCTACAGTTTCAAAGATAAGGTTTACAGAAAAGGCACTTGTATATTTTCAACCTCTTAAAAATGTTTTTAAAGAGATTTGAAAGAAAAGCTTAAATGCTTTTACTTTGATCAAAGCTCAGGTCATGAGAAACACAAAATGTTAGACTCATTAATAATCCTCTCGGATTTTAAGGTGACCCACATCAAGCATGTTTTTCTTCAGTGAAATGTACATATTCTTTTTCTAGGTTTGAGTAAATAAATTCATACATGCATGATTGAGTCACATCTTCTAAGTTCTGTCACTTATCAAAAGTTAGCTCTGGTCTGGCATGACACATAAAATCATGCTACTCTTTCAAGTTCAATGGCATCTACACATTTTCTATATTAAAACAGATTTAATCTATTTGCACACATGTTTACCAATATTAAAACACATTCTTTCATGCTCCACTTCATATGAATTACAAGTACACTTTTGACAAACTTGTATATTTGGGACAATAACTTTTAAAAATTTCTATACAGTCACACTAGGCATGCACATTGACACTTAACAAAAGTCACCTGATTTAATGATTAACTACAAAGATCATGACAAACTGTATGCGGCTGGTTTCAGTGAACAGATTCTCTGAGTGACACAGGGACTCTCAAAGCCACCCTGCACACACTCATTGAAACCGTTCCTGACTCAGTGTGCTACATTTTAAAACCAAATGGTTTCTGTGTTGTTTTGTTTTTCCCTCTCCTTCCTCAAAAAGACAATGCTTCCTAGAACCTAATACCTAATAGCAAATCCAGTCCTAAAGCTCAGAGAAGAACATAACTTATTGTGGGAATGAAGACCACAAACTCAAGATCATCTTTGGTTTTAAAAGATATTGTTAAAGCTACCCTGCCAACTAAAGAAAAGTATCATTCCACATAAAGTTAGAAATTGAAATGAAATTAGTAAACATCAGAATAGAATTGGGAAAGGTAACTGGGTACTTCACCATTCTCCTTGAACCCCTCCCAGGCAAAAAAAAAAAAAAAAAAAAAGGCTGATCTCTTTCAAGAGCTTGAATGTCCTAGGAGAAGAAAACTATTCTATATGTCTGCACTACCTGGAGAATTAATTATAACTTATTTAGCATAAGCAGAGACATGATAAAGGATTTGGATTTTTAAAGAAAAAAAGAACTGTTCAAACTATTGCTATTCGTTGATTCATTTCTACACAGCCAACCTGTCTCCTCACAGTGTTGCACATTTGGAGTTCAGTTTCTTCCACAAGAAGTCACAGAAGTCGATAGGGGAGGATTTTTATTTTAAAGGTACTGGTTTGAAAAAAAAAAAGCCAAAATCTTAATTTTTGAAGTTTCTCTTAAAATGAATTTCTGAAAGCTCTCAATTTTGTCCCTAAGATGTCACTCCTCTGCTGCCATTCTCTAGGGCTGATGAGCAGGGTGGAGTCTTTGACAGAGCTAAAATGACTTGAAGTCCGATAAGGGAACGGCTTGTCTAGACCAAGGGATCACAGAGATTTTGCCAGGATTCTGCAGGCAAAAGGTAGAAAAAAAAATTCTAACATAAGGGACAAAATCCTGTCAGTATAATAAAGTTGGACTCTGGCCAAAATGAAATTCCTAAAAGCCAATTGCTTTTAAAAAATAAAACCAGTGCTTTATTTTTTTAAGATGACATTATCTCTAGTTTTTAATGGCAGAGGACAACTGTAATGAAAATGACACAGCTTTTCTGTCCTGAACTTCAAAATCATTCTCACTTCATCAACTATACCTTATCAGCAACTTCAAACATTGTAATAATTATAATCGAAATTTAGATAATTATCTACAATTAAAAATTTCTACCCAGAGAGAGGTATGTGCAATTTCCATTATTAGGTTAGAACTCAAAGATCTTAAATTTTATAGAAATGAAATAGTTAAACAGTGCAGGAAATTTTGAGATATTAAGATATTTAATTTGTATCCAATTTTTAAAAATGGAGTTTCTCAAGTTTTTTTTTTTTTTTAAATGTATTTAATGTGTGTTTTATCTGTAAAACCAGGAAGTTCAAGACTTTTCAAGTAGAATTGCTTCTTAGGTTAAAAAACACACACATACACACACACACACCAAAAAAAAAAAAAAAACCCAAAAAACAAAAACAACAACAAAAAAAAAAACCCAACTATTTCTTTTATAGTATTTCAAAACAAAAATATACTTGGGAAAACAAGCATTTTAAATATTTATTAATTTAATGTGAGTTCATACATACTTTTAATATAATGTTCACCTTTTTCTAACCTTCCAAAAACCTGTTTTTAGAGACTCATGTAAAGTATGTTAAGGGAACACTCTACTTGATTCACCTATTAATCCGATAGTGTAATTAACTAGGAAGGAAATCCCCAACCTGCATCCTTAGCGACTTCTACTTGTCGGCTATTCCCCAGGGTACACCTAGCACACAATGCTGGGCCCACAGCAATCCAGGGCATAATTGATTACCTGAAAGAAACAGATGTTTTCAAAAGTAAGTGAAACCATATTTTTACTACGCATTTAGGGATCAGCCAGATGTCAAAGGAGGGCCTGATTTTTGCAGGTTTCCGACTGGTTTAGATGACAACTTTCTTTCTTCAATGCAGTGAATCAACAACAGATTCTTGCATGTCACATGCCAAATGTGACCATTTGTGTAAAAATATGCTATGCCTATTCTACAGTATTTTAAAGTTATTCCCAAGTCATAATCAGCATGCTGTGTTAAGGAGTACAACCTGTGAAGCCCACTAAGGTGGCTCGCTTAAAATTAGACAGTCAATGGGACTGATACATCAACCTTCAAGATCTTCGGGAAGCTTTAACATACAGGAAAAAGGAAGGCATCTCTCCGTTTCACTTGCTAACTGCTCAAGGAATTGTTCTGTAGAGGTCAAATGTGAAATGTTCAGTTGTCTAAAACCCATGGTTGAACTGTTACATTGTTTGTTCCATTAGAAATTGAATGTATCAACTGCAAATTTTTGATTGTATTTTATGATAAAAATTTTTGTGGGTTGCTAGTGAAAGCCACCGAAGTCCTAGAGGGTATGTTTCACACTCTGGATCCCCCAAGAATAGTAAGCTTACCGTGGGCTTTTTGGTGTAATCCTATCTTAGACAGTAGTTATGTAAAACTATTATTTCCATTTGTCCTTAGGATTGGGAGTTACAGGTAAAAGATTCATTATTTACACAACCTCAGCAATCTTCAGCCAGTGTGCCAATTTCCCCAGAGTCCCATGTACATGTGTTCTGTCAATTCTGCGGGCCAACCAACCCTTACCAGACACATACCCAACCAGACAGGCAAGAAATTGGGGCTGGGGCAATGACAAAGAGGAGGGAATAGTTCTTTCTAATGATGCCTTGCTTAAATATGTTTAAATTAGAACATAAACACTAAGAGATCTTTTGAGTTCTGGTAAGAAAAATGGACATACACAGCTAATCTTGAACAACCAAATGTCTGATAATTCGATTGCCTAGACTTCCACTCATTAGCCAAGCAGTGTTCCAAATTAAGACATCCGGTCTCCTTCAATTTTCCACTTAAACCAGAACATGGGAGAATAGATTTGACCAATCAACTTAGGATAAAACCATGCATGGAAAGTGACTTGCATTGTATATGGGTTAACAGTTGTGTGACTTAATATGAAAAACCTACCCTGCTACTTGAAGTTCTTTATAGTCACAGTTTTCTAGGGAACTGCCTCAACAGTCTGATCTACACTATAGAAATGGGTCATATTTTTAAATGTGCATTTAGTGTCTTCTTAAATGATGAGAACATGCACATTTCCACTTGGGTGATCCTAAAGCATTCTAGTAACTTCATAACCTCAATAAAACTGATATTAAAATGAAGATGCCACGCACTATACAAACTTCAAAATCTGTAATGTGATCATAATACAAAAACCACACAGGCAATTCTCAGTTCATATAATTTATTGCAGTTAGCACACAGTTTAAAAATTCACCAACACACCAATAGTACAAAACTAAACAGCATTATAAGTTATTCCCCCTCAGGAAATAAAACATACTATGATTGTCAAAGCTAGATGTCAGTCTAAGATTTAGAACAAAGGAAGAATGTGAAACTAAGAAAAAGAAAAAGCAATCACTCACAATGACCACAAAAAAAAATTCAAAAAAAGTCCGTTCTCTCACAGACATTGATTGTCTTCTCTAAATTAATAAAGATTATTTTAACATAAACTGTATTAAAAAAAAAACAAAAAACTAGAAACTCTTCAAGTAACTAAAGATAATGCTCAAGGCCATCTTCACAGCTTTGTTTGTTTGTTTGTTTGCTTTAAATGCCATTACAGCCAAATTAACATACATTTGACCAAATATTTCCAAAACAGTCCAGCAACACACAATGGAGTTTTCCATTCAGTATCTTAAGCACAAAAATAGGCTATGTTTACAGTAGTTAAGGCGATCAAATTTTAAACAAAAGCAATTAAAAAAGAAAAAGGGAAAAACAACAAACATTTTCCATGCTACTCCCATAGACCTTATTTGTAAGTGCAAGACAGGAAAACAAACACTGTGCAAAATGCTTCTCCCCTGCGTGCTGGTCATTAAAACCACACGGTGGGCTGCAGCCTCTGCTGCCGATACACATAGTCTACTAACCCCCTTCCCCACGTCAATCAAGGCAGTTCAGTCCTTTCAGCCTGGGGCTTTTTCAGTCCATAGAATCTTTTCATGAGTTAGGGGGTAGGGGGAAGGAAAGGAAATAGGGGAGAAAAAGAAAAGGGAAGCAAAAAGGAGAGAGAGAGAGAGAGAATGACCTATGACCTATTGTCAATTTGTGCAGTAGTTATTCTAAAAATGCTCAGCTGGGTACATGGGTACACCTAAACTCTGAGCTGGCATGGGTTCTGTGCAATTACAAGTGTGTTATAAATGCACACTGCACATGCAAATCTTTAAGCCGTTTGTAAACATTTATATGTTCCTTGTAATGTAGCGAAGTTATCAATTTGCAGCTTAAGTTTTTATTCAGCTTAACAGTTTCAACTTAAAGACAGTGGGAAAAGTCAATTTAAATTATATAAAATAAAATAAAAACAGTGCATTTACGTTCTTCGTAACACCAGTTTTTTTCCCCAAATGGTGCTAATTTTCTAAGGAAATTAAATAATTTTAAACTCACTCGTTAAAGTTATACAATGCAAACAAAGACAAAAAATATATTGAAACTCATGCATTTCTGTAGCGTTAATATTTACTTTTCAAGACTCAACTAAGAGCATCAACACAACCTGTCAAGTTCTTTGACACCCCCCCAGCCCGTGTAATCAATTACAGTATACAAGAACAGTAATTCACATTTTAAACACACAGTTCAACACTGCTGAAGCTGCAATACCCTTTTTCATCTCAAGCAAACCTTCACAGAGACAGTCCCAGTGACCCAGTGTACTGTCACAAGTTCTCTCACTGGGAACTGTCAGAAAACCAGAAGTTGCCACAGAAAGTTTTAAGTCAACTGCTTGTTTAAAAATAGATAATCCAGCATTTCAGAAATTTTCCATTTGGGTCTAAAAGCATTCAGGTTTCCAACAGCCAGAAAATATTCATGCAATTTGAGACATATAAAGAGGCTAATAAAACTGGAGGGAATTTCTACTTTGAAAACAAAACAAAACAAAACAACGTGGGGCACAAGAAAAGCGCTCAAGACAATGCAGTGTTTACAAAATGAAGCCATAGGAAAGCATTTTGTGACAGAACCATTTGCTGAGAAGGATTTATTGGCTAACTTGGCCTACCCTTCAAAGGAAAGACACCTCTCTACTTTTGACTCGCTCTAAAGTTTCTTTTATCAGAATGCTAAATTAGTGAGATTCTCATGCTATTATTCTAAAGTGCAAAAACAAGTTAAGATCCCAACTTTTCAGTTCCAGGAAACAAGACTGCTTTTAGACCGTACCACAACTATATAGAGATCTATGTATATATATGTATATATATATATATATATATATTATTTATATATATATATAAAATTATTTCCAAAGTTCTTGAGAGCTATCTTCTAAGGTCCAGTCTCTGACAGTGGGCAAGCTCAGTGCTTCACTTTTGACCGACAAGGAGTTCACCAACTCACAGTGTAACTTGCGGATGTGTCTGTACAGGTCTCCCGACTGCGTGAACCTGCGCTCGCACCACTTGCAGGCGTGGGGCTTCTCACGGGTGTGCACCACGGCGTGGCGGCTCAGGTTGTGCGAGTACTGGAAACTCTTGCCGCACTGGGTGCACGTGTAGGGCTTCTCCCCCGAGTGAGTCCTCTCGTGGCGCTTGAGGGTGTACATGCAGGAGAAAGTCTTCCCACACAGGGAGCACGTGGGCACATTGACATCGGCGGCAGGCTTGCTGCGGATGCCATCCTGCTCTCGGAAGTGCGTGCTCAGGTGGATCTGCAGGATGTGGGGGCTGGGGAAGACTTTGTTGCACAGGGGGCACATGAAGATCTGGCCTGCAGGGCTCAGGATATTGGAGACATAGGGAAGCAGGCTGCTCTCCATGCCCCCTTCCACCTGGACCCGATCGCTCTCTGGGGTCATCATCTCATCATCGCTGGCTTTGTCCTCCCGATCCAGCTCCCTCAAGACCGAGTCCTCCCTCAGAGGAGCCAGGTGGGCCGGCTCATACTGTACCCTGTTGTTAGTGCTCACACTCTCTTTCACAGTGCTATGTTCCATGTCATAATCATTAGTGCCAACATCACTCTCATCACAGGACGCCTCTTTCTCCACCTTCACCTGCACCAGGTTGCTTCTCAGCACGTCCTGTGAAGAGAAATAAGAGCTGTTCAGATTTTCAACTCCCGAAAGGCTGGACTTGACAGACAGGTCCAGCACACAGTCAACATCTGCCGAATCCCTCACGGAGGTGACAGACCTCTGGGACAAAGACTCTGTTGAGCTGCAGGGGCTGGCTACTGTTTTTCCAGCTGCTGTGGCGTGTGGCTCGGCCTCTCCGCCAGCCTGGGGGATGCCTGCTGAGTCTGAGGGCAATCGCATCCACATGTTCCCAGGCTCAGCTGCCAAGTCCCTTTTGCTGGGTAGAATGTTCAATTTCTCATCTTCGCCTTCATCTTCATCACTGGGCAGGTCACCTGCCATGTGGCTGCTGCCGTCTGAGAGGCTCTCGACTTTGTCAGAACAACTTGAAGCGTCTTCTTCTTTTTTGGTGCTGTCTGCCTCGGTGGTAGCTTTCTCCTTCAGCTTCTTTTTGCAGACTTTGACAATGTCGTACATGTGGAGATAACTGGCAGCTGCTAGCACGTCCTCAATGGGCAAGTCTTTGAACTGGAGTTTCCCTTCGTACATGAATTCAAGCAGGAGAGCGAAAGCGGGGGCTGTCACAATGTCGCTGTTCAGATGAACAATGTCTCTTTTGTCCAGCTGGTCCTTGTAAAAGAGGTGGAAATACATGCTGCATGAAGCCAGCACAGCTCGGTGCGCCCGGAACTGGGCATCTCCCACCAGAACAGTGCAGTCACAAAGAAAGCCCTGGTGTCTCTGCTCGCTCAGACACTGCAGCAAATGTCTGCTGTGGTCTGGAAACTCCATACTGTCTTCATAACCTGGGGAAAGAGGAGGGTCTCGTTAGAGCCTGCTTACTAGTTTAGCCTCTAGTTTCCAGTTTAAAAAAAAAAAAAATCCGCCTTAGTGGTGGAGAGTTCCATGTCTATGAATTTTAAATCAGGATCACACCCCAAAGGACTCCCAAGTCACACATGCGACCTAAATGCACTTGCCAAGGACTCTCACCCTTCTCAGAACTCCTGGTCGAGTTAAAGACTTCCTTTAGCTACAGCCTATTACTGAGACCAAGAATTCAGACCTCTTCCAGAAGAGATTTAACCAACTACTCATCAAACGACATCCCACAAAACCTACAAGACAGCTTTAACTTCAAAAGGAAGAACCCACAATAACAAGGCAAAGTCCCACACAAATTTTGGAAGAGTGAAGAAAACTTGCCCAACCATTCTTTTTATTTTATCACTTTTCATACCTGACTACTGCAAAGTGAAGACTGAACACACACACATTTGGTTGAATTGGGAAGCGGAAAAGGGGAATGAAATTGCATAATTAGTCCAGAAATCAGCAAACAACTTACTTTTTAAAGTCAGAGTGTTACAACAACAAAAGCCCTGTGTATAAGAACAGATGTTGGTGCGTAAGATTTGCAGGTACTGCACAGGCAGGAGATCAGATGGAACTGCACCGACAGATGGGAAAGGTCATCTTACTATGAACAAATCCAAACATTTTTAAAATGAATGGGGGGGGGGCTGTTTCTTTGTAGAACAATATTATTAGCAACCAGAGAGGCTGTTAACTCTGAAAATTCTCATCTAAACTTTGATCTGCTACAGGGTTAAAACAAACTCCATATTAAAATTAATCAAACTTTTACCACTATAAAATAAGGTGCAAAAACTTTATAGGTTCAATATTTAGTAATTTGAAAAGCCTTCCTAGAAAAAAACACTTTTTCCCCGGCTCTGCCTTACCTCACCAACAGAAAATACTTTGTTTCAATAATAACTGGATATATCTTGTTTTCCCAGTAGTTCTGTTCTTTCAATTATGCATCTTTGCCTTGTTTTCTGGCAAGGGAGGGCAGTGAAGGAGGGAAGGCAAGACTGGGTCAAAATCCAACTGTGGTGGAGAAAGATAAAGAGAGCCCACTTCCTCACCCTGTGAACAGAAGCAGGGCTCCCATCCACCCACCACACCAAGTGCAGCTGAGGGTGGGTATGGAGTTAACATTCAGAACCAGCTTCCCTCCTTGTCCTCACCATGCTGAGACAGTGAAACTCTCATCCTAACCCCAGATACCTTCTGGAAGACACCACCACTAGAATGAACCAAGATTTACAATACAATCACTTTAAGTGCCCCACAGCTAACATCAATCCCAACCCTGGAGAGGGCTAAAAATAAAGACTGGAGGCCAGCTCACAAGGTAGCCGTGATCAAATTAGGAGGCTGAGAGGACAGAGAGGGACGAAGAAGGAAGCTTATAAACATCTGATCCAGCTGACTGTGGCCATATGGCAGCTGCTGCCCAGATAAAGAGATTAAGAATAGAGGAGTGCGATTACAGCTGTCTGGCCAATTCAGGCAGCTCGAATCTACAAGTTCTAAATTAGTCGCTAACGCAGAAACTCCTGCAAATAATTATTGTTACGCTGAAATAAAAGATCTCTTAAATATATATCTGAAAGAGAAATGAGGAAACTGGTCAAACTATTCTCCTAGGGATAAAAGTTGTCTTTCTTTTTCTTCTCCCCTCTTCTTAAAAAACAAAAACAAAAAAATCCCAACAACAAAAACCCTCCGGTTTCAAAAGCACTACAGCTGTATGCTGCTTTCAGTAATGCTTGCCGAATGTTTTGGAGAATAAAGTTTCACAGTGGAATTAATTACACAACAACCTAGCTTCTTAACCAGAATAATCTTCTCATATAAGTTTGAAAGCTGGATTCCAGACAGTTTACTGTTTCTGCCCCCCTAAAGCAAAAGGAATCTAAACAGCAGTGAACAACAAAAGGCATCTTAATCCAAAGTGATCTCAAAAAGCCATATTCCAAAGCCTTTCTTACCATCTGAAAACTTGAAATATTTCTGTGTATTAAAGTTATTTACTTGCTCAAAGAAAAGAAATAAAAATTCAAACCAAGCAAGCCCAAGACTTCCAGCTCAAGACCATCACTTCATGCTCAATTTCACACATTATTCATAAAGTGGATTACAAAAGTAATGTGATGTTTTTTTAAAAAAATTAAATAAAACACCCAAACAGAAAGATGCTCAATCTAATCTCTTGCTACTCCTACCTTTAGGACACATAAACTTGATTAAGTCCTTCCCTCGGAGTCTTGCTGGCTCCAGGTCTGTTACATCGGTGGAAAAAAAGCAGACTAAGAGAGACAGATGCAAAGTGGAGATGATGTTGGAGAGGAATGAGATACCTTCTCCACCACAGATCCGCACACACTAGCTCCCTGTCTGTGTGTTAGAATAAAAGGCTGAGGGATGGCAGGCTGTCAGCTGCTCTGACATCATGTTCAGATGGAAATGCTACCTCCAGCTGTGCTCCTTTAATGCCATATGCTACTCCTCTACACTCCTGCCACCAGCTTTTTCTTAGGAGAACTTTTCTCTTCTGTTAGTATAAACAAAATACTTCAAAGTCTTCCTTTTTTTCCCCCCAAACTTTCTAACAGAAGAAATTGAAAAACTCAGCATATGGAGTCCTACTGTATTTATGGAATCGCAACACTTCTGCCTCAAGTTGGTGGACTGGCTTACATATGACAGCACACTCAGGCTCGGTGCTATTCAGGAAACCCACATTCACTTTTATTCAACTCCAACGTCTAGTTTCAAAGGCAGCTTAGGGATATTTTTAAACCAACCCATTTGACATCTCCAGCCCCACTTCGGCATTATTACAGCATGTTTTTTTTTTTCCTCCCCCCGCGGAGATAATGGTAGACATCTCCAAAATGTTGGCAGACTTATTAAGAGCTATTACTTCAGCGTGGTTCACCTTATTATTTCACTCTTACTTAGCAACTTATCTGCAACTACCTCCCAGGAAAATAATTCACACTGCCACCGTGAATGCAGATTTCCATTCTCAGCGTCAACAAACTGAAACTGCACTTTGTGAAATCCTGGAAAGTATTTCGGTTCAATAAAGGCAAATTAATAAACCGACACAACCTGCTGCAGTCACTTAGGATGACTGTTTGGCCACATCTCATGTTTCTGCTCAGAAAAAGGCGTCACTTTGTCTTGCCCTTCTTCCCTATCCCTTTGGGCTAAAGGGTTGTGATCAGCAGGAGTGTAGACTTTGGGAACTTTCTTGGCTGGAGTTTGTGGGTCTTAGTTTCTAATGGCTGATGAAATGCTAAGGTAACCCGGGCTGGGCCGCCCGGTTCCCTGCAAGGTGCTGCGACAACTATGAATGTCAGACACATCTATCTCTACAGACTCTTGGGAGGTCGAGGAGTAGAAAAAAGAAACTGGGGCCTGAGGCGCAAACGTCCCAACCCGGGCGACAGCCACTCTTAGGCTCGCCTTAGAAAACGGAGGCAGGGAGCTAGAGAACAAAACCCCAACTCTGTCCTGCCCTCGCTCACGAGTCACTAAGAAACCTAACTTTCTCTAACTTCGCGGTGAATGACATAATTCTGAACTCGTTCTGGAGGCACACTGGGCAGACACATTACTTCCCTGCTACACACACCCTCTTCTCCGCGGATGCCCTCGCCCCATTCCAATATATCCGACGTTAATCACCCCGTTTACTCACTGGGGTGATGGTGGGGGTGAGTGACAGTTTAATGAGCCCCAAGGACCGCAATGGCCCGGAGACATCCCGTCCAAGTCTCGCTACCGCGGACCCGCGGGGGCTCTGTGAGGTTTGGGGTTTTGTTTCTCAGAGGTGGGGGCAGGGTGCCCCGGGTGTGTTTGAGGTTTTGGGGTGGAGGGGGGGGATGCAAATCTTCGCGCAGTTCGCCGTGCATAAAGCACTTGGGGAAAGAGGAAGGGTGAAACCACTGGGAAGGAGGTGCAGGGCAGAGAGCCGGTGCAGCAGGAAAACCCCTTCCACAACGGCCGAGAAAACAGCCCCGGGTCGCGGCAACAACAAAAGAAAAGTCGCAAGAAGC